ATGAAATCTATAGTATAGATACAAATCTGAAAGAAAAAGTTTATAAATCACAACCCACCATGTATAGTGATGTTCACTGCATTGCTGAACTCTCCTGATACAGACTCACACCAGTAAACTCCACTATGAGGCTGGTTCATCTTGATGGTGCATGTAGATCCATTCATTCTCCCCCAGATGTAGCAGTCTAACACTGAATCTGTTTCTGTAAACCTCTTCACTCTCCACTCAGCAGAGTTTCCCTCACAGTTCAGAGTCACAGATTCAGATCTGAAGTGTTGAACTCTGTCAGGATTCACTGAGAGAGAAGCTGCTGGACGAGGATCTGGAAAATATATATACATTTAATCTAGAATAAAGCTGAAACAAGATCATCCGAATTATCTGACTTTATTTATTGTCTTTAGTGTCAAATATCAATATTATAATGGCAATGAATCAAACAAAATATCTTCGACAAAAACTTGTCTCAAGTAAGAAAAAAACTGCAGTATTCATAAGTGATCCACAATTTTTCAAATCCTTCAACTGTTTTCACCTTTTCATTTTGTTATGTTTTATTGCTGCTTTGCATTTTTAATGAAACAATATCTGGAAATATAAACCAAAGTAAATTTTGAAATGTTTTCTTTACATTGATAATGAATCCTGTAATGGTGTCATGTGGCCGGTGTGTTTGTTTTGAGACCATCCATGTCATGTCCCTCATCTCCCTTATTCCCTGCAGCTGTGTCGCTCCCTGATTGCTTCCCTTCTTAAGCCTCCCTCAGTAACCTACCCACTGCCAGATTATTGAACGCTTTCAGCAAGTAGTTTCTAGTTCTCCCTTCACGACCTCTGTGTTACTGCCTCACTCTTGTTCTCTGGATTTGCCCCTTTTGCCTTACCCTTGTCGGACTGCTGTTTTGCCTACCCGGATCTCTACCTAGCCTGTTACTTTGACGCCGCTCACGCCCACTCCCTCGGACTCTGCTCTCTTCCCCTTTGTGTATGACCTCGGCCCGGCCGACCAAGAACTTGGATCTGGACTTATTACCTCTGATTCTACTTTGTGAGTACGCTGCCCTGCATCAGCGCTTCTCCCCCCGACCCCATGCACAATCTCCTAGCCTGTACAGCTGTCGATCCAGTGTGCCGTTCTTAGCTATCTCTAATAAAGATCCAAAGTTTTCTGCTCACTCCTGTCTCGTGGCTGATTTCGGGTCCTCCTACTGTGCTTTTACAGAATCCAACAACTTTAAATTACTGTTAAGGATAAAGTTCATGGATCAGCAGAAATAATGTAAAAACATCATTTTTTATTCACTGAGTGGAGACACACAGATAAACTGACCTGCTGACCAGACAAAAGTTGGATTTCTGTTAGTTGGTTTTCCACTTCCTGCTTCACACACATAACCTGCTGTGTTATTGAGTCCATGAACAATGTAGACGTTCTCATCAGTCCCATTGGAGCTGCCAGGCAGCAGCTCATAGTTGTAGAAGATGTTTGATGGATCAGGAACAGCTTTATACCAGAAGAACCTGGTTCCTGCAGGTGGATGTTGAACCTCA